TCCTCCCCCCATCCTCCTCCCCCCTCCGCCTCCTCCTTCCCCTCCTCTCCCTCTTCCTCCCCCTCCTCCTTCCCAGTCAGTCTGCTTTTCTTTCTTTCCTCTGCTTTCCCTCACTGGACATGGTCCTCTACAAGAGCAGCAAGCACTCTTAACAACTGAGCCCCTGGATGCTGAATTCTGTTGAACCCGCACTCTGTGTCTCTGGTTCTCACCCTTCAGGATGCTGTGATGGTTCAGGACAGAAGGTTGGAGCCTTGCTGTGTGGGAAATTCCATGTGTGGGGGTATTTACACATTGTTAGATTTGGTCTGTGTGTTTGGATTTATCCTCCTACTATTTTAAAGACAGGGTCTCCCTACTTAGCCCAGGCTGGCCTTGCTCCTGTCCCCAGCTCTGTAGTACAGGATTGCAGGTGTGCAGCACCAGGCCTCGCTCTCGCTGGATTTGATTTGAAAATAGTGCATCAACTTTTTGCACGTCGTGATGTATAGTGGTCTGTAGCTCTCCATCACTCTCAAAGCATCTGCTGTGGATCTGGTTCTGTGGAGAGAACCCGTGTGAGGAGGAAGCAGGCTCTGACCTTGAGGAGCTTCTGGTTGGCCGGCAAGGTCTCAGACAGTTTGCACCCAAATCACAGAAGACAAATGTGAGAATCCAGCCGGTGCTGTGGCTCCGACCATGCCCACCTACTGCCAGCCCCTACCCAGAGCCTGTCTGTGACTCTCCTGTCCCCTAACAGACTCCCCAGGTGCCCAGATTCCAGAACAGTGGCAGGCTTAAGTACCAAGGAACTTTCCAGGCCTCAGGTGGCCAGACTCCAGGACCACAGAGGGTAACACATCCTCCATCCATATAATGGGTACACTCAACTACACTCCTCCTTTCTCCCACATCCCCCCACATTCCTTCCTGGCCACTTAAGGCCCCCTCCAGAGTCAGCCTGACTCCATACAGACTCCCCTTCCTCTGAAACATATAAGGTCCTCCCAACTCTGCCTCATGGGTCTGAACTCTCCTCAGGGGCCCTGTGGTGCTGCTGTCTGTCTGTCTGTCCATGGCGTTAGTAATCTTCCAATCTTTTACCCAAAAGGACATCTGCCTCAGTGTCCCCTTTGAACCCCCAAGCCTGAGACCTTTCAATAGGTACTTTAAAAACACATTTCCCTCTGTTTTAGTCTCCCCATGGAGACTAAAATTCACTTGAAATCTGGATTGTGCATTATCAGGAAAGGACAATGGGGAAACTGAGGCACCAACAGATCAAAACCATCTGGCTGGAGTAGAGCCATCTGGAGCCTGGACTCTGTTCCAGACCTACTGCCTTCCCCGGAACATCCTGCCCCACCTTCAAGGTCACAGGCTTGGGTGCATATCAGCCTCGGCTCCCTTTGTTTATAAAGATACATTTCATGTTTAGTTATGTGTGTGTCTATGTGTATAGATGTGCATGTGAGTGCAGTTGCCTGCAGAGGCCAGAAGAGGGCACTGGATCCTTGGAGCTGGAGTTAGAGGAAGTTGTGAGCCACCTGTCCTGGGTGCTGGGAACTGAACTCAGGTCCTCTGCAAGAGCAGTCAGCACTCTTAACCACTGAGCCATTTTTCCAACCTAACCTTGGTTATTTCAAAATACACATGAATATATCTCTTCTCCTGATGAACTGCCCTTAAACTAGCCTGGATAGGACTTCATCTTTTCATGGGACTCTCCATCACCATTTGAATCTAGCCTCACAAATGCCACCTAGAATGTGGCCTCACGCCTGAGGTCGGCTATTTCCTCGCTTGAGCTACATGAGGCCCACCTGCCACACACCCTCGCTCCAGCAGCTGGAAGCTGCTTGTTATCACTACTTGCAGGTGATGAAACGGAGGCACCAAGAGTTGTACAAACTTGCCCAGGGCCTTCCTGGGCATTGAAGTTCACCATTGCCCCCCACCAACTGGCCCCTGGCCCACCACATGTACCCTGTCCATCTGACAGGTAAGGAAAACAAAGTCCAAGGAACAAGTTAAACTGAAGGTGGCTCAGTTGGTAGAGAGCTTGCCTGGCATGCAGGAGGCCCTGGATTCCATCCCAGCACCACATGAAACAGATGTGATGATATATACCTGAAATCCCAGCGCCTGAGAGGTGGAGGCCGGAGGATCAGAATTTCAGGGTCACCCTCGGCTACATAGTGAGTTTGAGGCCAGCCTGTGCTACATGAGACCCTGTCTAAAACAAAGACCTAGAAAGAACAAGATGCTGCCCAGTGACAAAATCATGCTCAGGTAACAGCAAGATCCGGATGCACCTCCTGTCATGTCCCTGCCTCTGCCAACCAGGCCAAAAGGAGGATGCTCCAGCTCTGCACCTCACAGACACCTGACAGGCAGGGGGCTCCTCCTCAGTTCTCAGGAGGCCATCTGGTGCCAGGTGAATGTCATTCAGACCCCATTCCCCCAGCCCACCCTGCCGTCATGTGCATCCCTCCCCATCTCTCCAGGTGCCCCCCCCCGCCCTCAGCTGTGTCTTTTCTTGGTATCTGGCCCCTATAACTCCATTCAAGTGAAGGCAACTTTTCTGAGACCTCACCCCAGGGGACAGGGGCTTGTTTTCTTCCTCAGTTCCCCCGAGGATGGGCCCTGGTAACTGTTGATTCACCAGGCTCTGGCAGTCACACCCAGCTCTGTGTTTGAGCTTGGAGCAGACCCAGCAGACAGACTGGTCTCCATCCGTGTAGCTGTCCACATTACCTGCTAGAAGACCAGAGCCGACCCTCAGAACCCAAGGAGCAGGTCACACCATGGCCCTGAGCATACTGTCTGAGCAGTTCTGCATCCCAAGGCCTCGCCAGGTGACGGGTTGGGCAGGGCTGGTCCTGGGGGGAACCAAGAACAAGACCAGGCAGACCACCTGGCGTGCTCTAGTGCGGTCCCTTTGACCAGCCCAAGAGATTGGTGCTTGTCCCCTGGGTGGAGTCCCAACCCCTGGTCCAGCAGGGTAGACAGGATGGCTGAGGCTAGATGGGGAAGGGTCCACAGGGCCTGGAAGTCAAATATCTCAGGCTTGAACTCCACAACCCTGCCCAGTGGCCTTTAGCATCCACGGCTGCCAGGCTGGGGACACACCTGAATGCCAGTGCAGACCCTCAGGTTGGGCAGAGCTGGACATGCACCTGTTGACAGAGGCACCCAACAACAGTGTGGGTAGCAGGTGGGGCTCTGCCCACACTGCAACAGAGGAAGGGTCAATTGGGAAAAGCCTCTCTGCCGCCAGTGTTCTGCCTGATGTCTCCCATCCAGGGGTCCATAGGGGGAGGCCCAGCTCCCTGCTTGGCCCTTGGGGACAGAAACTACAGGAAGGACCTTCAGCCCTTCAGGCTGCCGGCTGCTGCTGCCGATACCGGGGGTCAGCGGGGAACTCACCACCTCGGCTTCTATCTGGGGTTGTTTAGAATTAGAACAGTGTCTTTTAGGGAGCTGGAGAGAGGGCTCAGTGGTTAAGAGCACTGGCTGCTCGTGCAGAGGACCCAGGTTCGAATCCCAGTACCCACATGGCAGCTAACCACCATCTATAACCCCAGTTCCAGGGGATCCAGGACCCTCTTCTGACCTCCGAGAGCATTGCATGACAAGGGTGCACTTAGACACGCGCGGGCAATACACTCATATACATAAAATAAAAAATAAATAAAAATTTAAAAAGTAAAGTGTATTGGGAACACAAGGGGAGAGGCGGATCTTAGCCAAAGCATCCTCAGGACAGTACAGCGGGCATCGTGGGCCGTGACGGAGGGGTCCTTTTGAAAGCCTGTGTGTAGGGCAAGACCAGTGGGTTTGGATTTTGGGAGTCTCCCAGCGACTGCGATAGGGAAATGGTGCTGTGTCTTGGGCTGAGGAAAGGGGGGGGGTCATTGCACCCAGGTGCATCTATGGAAAAGCACTTCCACACCCCTAAATAGAAGAGCCCCCCAAACTACCCCTACCATCTTCTGGCTACTTGGAGGCGGGGTGCAGTGTCCCCACCCTTGGCCACAGGTGCGTGTGAGCCCCAGAGCTCACAGGGGAGGAGGCGCAGGCTCCTGGCAGCGACTGGGGCCCCCAGCACCCTCTCCAGACTAGCCGATCCACCCATCCGCCGGGGTTTTGCGTCTGCCGCGCCCTCCTCCCTCCGCCTCCACCCTCCGCGCTCCCTCGCTCCGCCTAGCGCGCTTGGATCAGCCCTCTGGTATTTCCTGCTGCCCCGGCCACCGCCGGCTGAGCCCCCTCGGCCGGGCCCAGTGGAGCCCGGCCCGGCTCGGAGCACCGACCCGAGCGCGGCACGGTAGGGGCCCTGCAGCCGGGTACGCGGCGGGACCGGGAGGGAACGCAGGGCGGGGCAAGGCCAAGGAGGGCACTCGGAGCAGGCCTGGGAGGCTGCAGGGCCGTGGAGCTATCGAGGGGCTGGGCAGGTCTGGGGACCCCCGGGGTGCTGCCCCATAGACCCCTGCAGCAGCCAGAGCGGGGAACCGCGCCCCTCCGCGGCTGGAGAACCGGGGGTGCCTGGGGACGTCTGGGTGGCGGGTGGGGCCCGCGTGTGGGTGCGGCATGCCCTGCCCGGTTTCCCTCATGGTGAGGCTTAAAGGAGCCAGGACCTGGCTGGCCTGGCTGCCTCGAGTGGAAGGGTCTGTTACCTCAGGCCAGCCAAAGCTGGGAAGGAGGTGTCCAAGAGGGGTTGGGCGCATCAGGATTCTGGGTCCCAGATTCCCTGGCTTGACTCCCAGGGTGCTCCGCCTGGGTCCACAGAGCAGGGTCTCTGGTGCTCTGGGCTGCTAACCCACCTTGCCCTTAGGCTCTGCCCACCCATGGTCCTCGATTGGACCCCTAAAGAGAGGGAGGGAGCATCAGGCAGTGTGTTGGGGAGTTGAGTCTGCAAGAGGGTCTTGTGCCTTTTGAGGACTTTGGCACTGCAATCAGGTAGGACCTGCCAGGGGAGGGAGGCCACAACCTCTCCCAGCCACAGGTCCAGCCTGGCATCCCACATGCCTCCCAGTCCACACAGCTGGCTTTTTGGATCCAGGTCCTTGGAGTCAGGGCGGTAAGTGGTTGGCTCCTAGGATGTGGATATACCCCCCTCTCCCAGGGTCAAGGTGGGGCTCTTGAGGCCCCTTCACCCAGCTTGGGCCACACTGGGCCTGGTCTTACTGGAACTACTGGTTGACTTTCTGTTCTTTTGCCATTGGGGGGGAGGTCTCAACCCAAGACTTAGCACCCACTTGTCACCCAAGAATTCTTATGTGTTCCTGCCTTTGGGCCCAGCCCCTGCAAAGTACCTGTTGTGAGTCAGAGGGGCAGGGTGGTGGGCACCAGGGCCTGGAGAAGTGGGCATGGCCTTTGAGATGGACATGTTTGTCTGCTCCAAGTGGGTCTAGACCCCCACTCACCAAGCAGAAGCCCTGCTCCCCTAGAATAGCAACCAAGTCCTGAGTACCTTTTGCTCCCACCACTCCCTGCCAGGAGGGAGGACCTGCTGAGCTGTGCAGACTTACAAAGGAGCCCAGAAGGCTTCGCAGGTAGCGGACAAGTCAGGGTGACCCTGGGGACCAGGTGGTGACATCTGGCTGTCCAGGCCCCTGACTGCAGATCCATTGTCTGCCTGCTCACGTGTGGAGCAGTGTAGTGAGGCCTTTGATCACCAGGCCCTCGTCCGGAGGAGGCAAGAACATGCATCTGTCTGATTGGCTTTGCCAGGCTGTGCTTAGAGAGGGTGACGAAGTGGCCAAGCCGGGTGAGGATCCTCCCCGAAATGCTGTGCCTCATCTGAGAGACTGTTGTGCCTAGGTCCAACCCTAGCAACATACCTAAACGTTGAGGAGGATCTTCTTCCCAGCCTGGGGGATCTGATGGGCCCAGGTGGGACCAGGAGTGGACTGAGTCCTTCAGAGCCTGGCTCTGGGCTCTCTGCAACCCTCCTGCTGAGGCATCGCCTCCCCCCACCCCACTTGTATCCACCACGCTGAGGATATCCAGGGTCAGCCTCTCCTTCCCTGACGCGCTCTGAGCCGCAGTGGAGATTTGACATGCCTGGGGGTGGGGTGGGGGAGGGCAGAAGCATCATGTGATATGCCAGTGGTGCAGTGTTGTGTCTGGCAGCCGTGTTGAGGGACTTGAGCCATCTGTGCGTTCTGTGGTTCTGCCCCATGCAAGTCTACACAGGCCACTCCTGACATACAGGTGCTGCTCTTGCTCAGGGTGGTGGAGGTGAGGCTTCGTTACCATCTTTTGTTCAAGGACAGGTGGGTCTGAGCATGGGGTTGCTGATGAGAAGCGTAGTCATCCCAGTGAGGCCTGAGAGCTTGAGCTCTGACTCAAGTCAGCCGGACAGAGGACCTTGTTAAAGGGGGCTGTCAGTGCAGGTCCCTCCTCGGTGTCTGGGGCTCAGGTGCTGGATGCACTGCAGGTTGTTTGTAGGGTTAGCCTTGGTAAGCGCCTTCTGTGTTGGATATGGCTGGCAGGACCAGGCAGCTGGTTGTCCAACAGGCCTTTGAGGGGTGTGCTCATGCTCTGGGATGTCCTGTCACTGTTGAGGAGTGCTGGGAGGGATGCTGTTTGCCAACAATCGGCTGTGTGACATATTGAGCTTGTAGCTGAAGGATAAAACACTCAGCCATGGACCTGCTGGTGAAGTCCTGGGCTGCCAGGGTCCCTGAGGTTTACAGGTGGCCCTGGAACACAGCGGGGTGACTGTTAACCACACTGCCCACTCATTTGGGGAGATGCATGCACGGGGGTGTGTGTCAAGGTCGGAGCCTTTGGACTTGGGGTAGCATTATTTGCATTGCAGCTCTGAGCCAGGACTCCAGAGCATGCACACATGGGTACCAGGGTTTGGGCTAGGATTGGGGGATGAGTCAAAGCTTCGGTTCTAGCTTGGAGTTTCCTTGTCCTTGGAGCTAGCTGGGGATCCACTGTCCAAGAGCAGAGACGTTGGAAGACTTGTGAGGAGGCTGGAACTGCTTTGGGGATCCCAGAGAGAAGATGGGGTGGAGGGCTTGAAGACCGTTGAGAAAGGCCTTGGAGCCGCCCAGTCAGACCCCTAGGGTGGCCCTGGCCAGCACAGCCTTACTAAGGTCACCATGGTCTTTGAGACTTATGAGAACGTCTACTGTTGAAGACATGAGCCCATCTGACCAGCGTAGAAAGACCTAGACTACACAGGGTCCTTTACTCAAGGCTCAGAGCCACCTAGGCCAGAGGCTCAAGCTTTGCCAAGCTTTCCTGACCTACCACCTACCCGACTCCTGCCTGGGGCACCACTGTTCACCAGCTCACAGGCCCGTCACCAATCCTCCAGCCACCAGGCTGTGTGGCCTTTATAAACCTGGGCTTAGTGATAGAACACTTACCTAGCATGCGTGAGGCCCTAGGTTTCAGTTCCCAGCACCGCTAAGGTGTATGTGTGTGTATATCTGTGTGATAGCATGTAAATTACCCTTCAGAGCCCTTCTTAGTTCACTGTGGGCCTCAGGATAAGTCCGTGGCTAACAATGGACCTACCACCCCCACCCTCCCCACCCCTGAGCTACCCTCTGCTCTCATCACCCTCACAGGGATTCAGCCCAACCCGGTTTTCTTACCCCAGGGCCTTTGCACTTGCTGTACTCTACTGTCACCCCTCCCCCAGATCTGAATGTACAAGGCTCCATCCGATCCAGGTTCCAAGGAGGAAATTCAGTATCTTCAGGTCCGATTTCTTAGCAACATGTATCTGTCTCTGACATCTTGTTATTTATTTAATTGGATGTCTAAATATGGAGAGAGCAGTTGGCCCCTACCAGCCCTGATTGGGGGGGTGGTGCTGTCATGTGCAGACATTCTCTGAGGTGTGAATGGAAGCTCCAGGCTCTGTTCCCAGGGCCTAGCACACAGTAGGTGCGCTGGTAAGGTGCTGAAAGGGGAACCTGGGAAGTGGGTGGTCTGAGGCCAGCTGCCTGTCTTGCCTCTCACCCCCAGCTCACCAGCTCCAGCACTGGGAGGAAAACTGCCACCCAATGGTCTGTGACCTCCTCCCGGCCTCCCCCAGCTCTGACTCAGGAACAGCGTCTGCAGACAGGCCTTAGAGAAGCTCCTGAGCTATGTAGTGTTTGCAGGTGGCTGTTGCCTCCGCCCCAAAGCCAGACCAAAGGAGGGAATTAGCTCATCAGATTCGTAACTTGAGTAGAGACATGGGGTGCCCCGACCGCAGACTGCTGGCTGGGTGTGGAGTCGCCTTCTCTGGGTCCAGGCCAAGGAAGTTTGGAGGCCTGAATTGGCCATACTTCCTGTGAGGTCACAGACAGTATCATTGCGTCCAGGGACAGATGGCCACCCAGGGCCTCCACACAGGGAGAAGCCAGCCTCTAGAACCCGGTAGGGATGGTACAGATGGTATTAGGTGGCCTATGCCTTTATCCCTTTCACCCGGGGACAGGTCCCCCCACTCAGTCTGGGGGAGTATATGGCATGAATTGATATGCCCACCTATTAGAGCGAATGCTGGGGGTGTGTGTCTGGGGAGGTCTGCTGCAGGACCGGGGCAATGTGGTCCTGAGGAAGCAGCCCACCTGCAGTCCCCTGCAATGGAAACACTCTTGATTATTGGGGGGGTGTGAATTGGGAGGCCCAATTATTGGGGTGTATTCAGCAGATTCCATTAAAAGGCTGAGTATCTTTGAGACCTACCCACTGCCCCAAGGCCCTTGGAGGAGTATTTCTAAGCACACGTGTTAGGTGACTATGAGCAGGAAACCCCTGGGCTTGATGCATACTTACTGGGGTGAGGGCCGCATGGAGAGTTTGAGTCCCTGAGGAGGGCAGGCCTGGGAAGCAGTCTGCTGCTGATAGACTGTAGGCTGCAGGTGGCTCCTGTCAGCCCCCTACCTTCTACCTTCCTCTTGTGGGCAGAGGGGAAACCAGGCGCCTCCTAGGTCCCATGCGCTGGTCACTAGCCTATAACCAGGAGTCCAGAGGTAGGGGAGCCAGGGGCTGACCACTGAGCACAGAGCAGAGGGTAGGAAGGCATGAGTCGTGGTTTTATAGAACAAACTTTATGCTTAGCTGTGCCAGGCAGTCACCCTACTCCAGCGGGATCCAAGCCTGTGGGGCAGGGACCAGAGTTAGGCCTGTGTTCCTTGCCCTAGAAGGGAGCCTCACATCCCTGGTGGCTGAGTAAGGGGGTGAGGGGCTACTCCGTTCTGGGCTGCCCTTGATCCCTCCAGCCAGTCACAATCTCTAGTGCCAGAGCCCCTGGCTCCCCAGTGCCCTGGTACAGATCCTGGGCTGTGGGATTCATGGGGCAGACCAGGGGCCTGGGTGGGATGAATA